AAAGCTATGAAATTATTCAATTAAAAAAGGTAATTTAAAAATTAACTTTCGTCGTCTGTAAATAAAATCTTATTGGAATTTGTATATAGTTGCTCACTTAAAATAAGGTTTAACCAATTTAGAACTCAATTAATGAACAAGAATATATGTTTTTTATGTAGATAAAACGTGTCCACAATACTAATTTTAATAGTTCAGATATTATGTATATATTTAAAATGGGTTAATTATGATATGAGAGATAAAACATGTAGTTAATGTTTCTTACAGAATTTCAATCCAAAAAATATGCAAACACAATCGAATTCAAGAATGCATTTAACAAAGATTCTGATATTATTTCGGTATTCAAACAACAAATATTTTATTGGCGCTTCTGTTTACACGTTAAATGAATCAGTTTCATTAATTAGTTCAGTTTCACATTTATTTGTTGTTGCTTTCTAATTCAATTGTTTTAAATTTTTAATTTATCTGAACGTGTAAACAGCGCCATTAAATTATTCTAATACACATTTAATATTTCTATGTGAATTTACTTTTACTATAGGTACTTTGCTAACCACAGATTTTCTTTCAGAAGTCTCCCTTATTTAACATAAAAAAAATATCCCGCAAATTTTTTGTTAATAACGTGAAATTAATATGAACGCTTTTTACTTAAAATATTTTTTAATAAATTGCCATCACTTTTATTATGAATAGCGCGTAAATAGCGTACTTTAAATTGATTTGATATTAATAAGAGAAAATCGTTTTATTTTTCCTCATCTGTTCATGGCAACCCTAAGTGGAACTTTTATTCTAAAAAAGGATAATTAAAAAAAAAACAAAAATTTAAATGAAAAAATTTTTTTGTTTTAAATTCCTAACTGTATAAAAAGGAGAGAGAGAGAGAAAAAAAAAACAATTTATCCAATATTTTGAGATTAAAAATACCATAGACAAAAAAAACCTAGGCATTTTTTTTGAAATTATTTTGTAAATTTTTAATTGAGTTTTAATAGTTCAGTGAAATTTGTTTTAATACTTTTCAAATCGAAAATAAAACTGTTCTTGTCTGATTTTTTTTTTCTGCATTGCATTGCAGCAAGGCATTTAATTGGTTACACTTCTGATATTTAATTTTGTGTATGATGTTCAAAATTTTTTTTTCTATTTTTACGATTTTTTCTTTTGCAAAAAAAAAAACGTTTAGAATTATAAATTTAGATTTAGGTTCAGTTAACAAGTTAATAAGGGAATATGAAAAGGAAATATTTTTGAGTACAAGAATTTTTAAAATTAAAATTAAATTAATTTTGCTATACAAATTCAAATTTTATTCTACATTGAATATTGAGCATATTGAGTTTTATTGAGCGTATATTGAGTTTATTGAGCGCATATTGAGTATATGGAGAGGTGTTTCTACAAGACTAAGAGATTGAGTTTATGAAGTAGAATTTCTATATTATTATAATTCAGAGTAATTTTCAATTTTCTTTCTGGTGGCGGAATCTAGGAATTGATTTTTGAAATATTTGCGGCACCTTTTAGTAAATCATAGATTTCTCAGTTTAATTCAAATACTATAAAAGGATATAATCTTCTTTGTAATTGTTCAGTTTGGAAAAAGTTACGGAATAATGTAAATAATTGAGACGGTCGTCATACAGATCAGATTATTGTGACAGAGTGACAACTCTTAGATAATACCGCATTTTTAAGAGGCATTCGTGAGACTAAAATTTGAATAAATTTATGAATTTTTGAGAGAACTTACTTTCAATAGATCTTGTACAGTGTTTTACAGTTAAAACTAGTAAATTGACGTATGCGTAAAATGTTCTTACGTAAATTTATTTTATTATCTGGACAGAATAAATCTTAATAAATTAATTTTATCCTGATATTGCAAAAATTATGTGCTAAAAAACAAAAGTATTTTTAATATTTAATATTTTTCTCTTTATCATTTGCACATTTCTATGCAAATTTACAAAATTTTATTATATATATGTATAATAATGCCTCAGCTATTCCAGAACAATATCATAAAAATATTCGTGTTAACATACAAATATTACATATTAAAAATGAATTTTAATACACCTTCATGTAAACTTAACACGTTCTTATGTGTAAATGTACCTACTATATACATATATATGATATGTAAGTAAATTATAGATGTATATATATAATATACGATTATATGAGTTTAAATACATTCCTGTTTACACAATATATGGAATGTGAATGATAGTTATTAAAGGATAACAGGAAGAGAATGATGTAAAAAATATCAAAATAAGTTTTAAGGCTTGACCTATATTGGTATTAAATGTCGTGGTAATTGTATATGAATATATACATAGGTAAACAATTTTTACACTAAAATTTTAATATACTTTTACAAACAAATAATATGTAATATTAATATACATATACAGAAAATATATAAGTGTTATGTAAATGTAAAATTGTAATAAGAAAATATGAAAAAATTTATGATATTTCATATTGTGTAATATCAGGAAGTTATGCAAAAAAGTTGTGGGGTTTATAAATTTTCCATATCCATATTATTTATAGTTTACATGCGTATACACACATATATGTATGTATATATATAAAATAACAAAAATTCTGTCCTTATTGTAAGTAAATTGATATTGAATTAATTTTTGAATATTGTAATGTTATAGAATTGAAAAAAAAATATATATTTAAGGTTTTCAAGCCACATATTTTGTACAATGTACATGTTATATCCATATGTTTACAGTTAAATCTAAATAACATAGTGTACAAATAGTGGACACTGATCTTTCAACTAATTCTATATATTATATAGTTAAGAAAATATGAAATATTTTAGGATTTATATGAAATTTATATTTCAGGATTTTTATGAAATCGATTTGAAATAGATAAACCTAACGCAAGTATAAGAAGTATACGTGTAAAATGCAAAAAAAAACGACTTGTCAACTTTAAATTAACAAAGTAAGCAAAATTTAAATATGGCCAAATTTGCATTTAATTGTTTTTGTTTTAAAAAATTTTGACTGTAAACTCATGTGAATGAATTGGACATATTATATAAAATGAATTTATTAATTATGGTATACAGTCGGATCCGGATAATTGCAAAACTGAAAAAAAAACAAGAAAAATTTTTTCAGCTAAGCACTTGTTACAATAGCACAAGGCCAAATATATACAAAATTTTTTTAAGACTAAGAAAATTATCTGATGATCGCATATAATGGTTTAAATAGTATTAAGTTTTTTTTGTAAAAATAAATTTTTTTACACTTTGGTTGCAATTACTCGGATTTGACTGTCTTTTTTTTAAAACGTGCATGTAGATATGTATGTATTTAAATGATGTATTTACGTGCTACATGCACTTGTAAATAATAAAATATATACTTGAATAAAAAGTGCCTTTTCTGTAACATTTGTAAATAATTTTCTTTTTGTTTTTCTTGTACCTTAATTGTTTAAAATTGATTTTTTATGAGTTGTAAAACTTTTTAAATATTTTTAAAATAAAAAATTGAAAAAAAATATTGTCTTATTTTAATGGTAATCGTTTTGTAAATCGTGTTTGTATTTTTTATTACAATATAATATTTATTTGATTTATTGTTGAAATTGTTTTTTATTTTTTAAATGAAAACAAATATTGTACATGTAGTATATAAATTTCATTTGATTTTCTCAAAAATATTGATATTCTTTTATTATGATTAACATGGAAACGCGTTTTATAAATTGCAAAATACCTTGACGCTTTTGCCAATGACAATAGGTCTGTTTATTCACGAAAATTTACATAAGTTTTTGGAAAACAAAAAGCGTTCACATACCTTTTTTTAATGCAAATGAGTGAATGAGTTCAACCTTATAATATTTTATTTCTGAATTCTCTTAAATATCATTCCTTTCTTTTTCTAAATTTTTGAAAGAAAAGTAAACAGACGGACTTGTCAACTTCAAAATTGCATGCATTTGAAGAGATGAACGCAGATTAACGGAGGTTAGTTTATTAGATATATATAGGAAAGGTATTATAGTAAAATACTGTCAGTGTGACTGATACTTTGAACTGACACATAAGTATGACAGTTATATATGTTGGAGTTGTATTAATGTACTCATGCCTTCAGTTAAGTGAAAGAGATCAAATAAAGTGTATATATGAAATGTGAACCGATTAAGAACATAGAGTCTAGTAAACTTCAGTAGTTTTATAAATGATTTCTAATTATTTTCGAGATTTCGTTAATATTTAAAATTTCAATAGTTCTTTTGTAATGGTAGGATATTTTTATGTATAAGTTATTTAAATTTTGTCAAATACAAAATTTTTGAACGAAAATATTAATTTTATGCAGAAAATTTTTGGTTTTTATTAAAAATGTTTTTTTTTTAAATTATATTTTTTTTTTATGTATGTATATTTTTTAATATATAGTGATTTTGGTTTTCAAATTTAATATAATTATATTATGTATGTAAATATGTAAATATGTATCAGGAATTTAAATATTATGTACTTTAGGATGTTTTGCTTTACTATATATAATAAGAGAGTTTTTATTGTTTATGTTTTTATTTTGTGAAATTTTTAACTCTGTTTCTTTTTTTTTGTTTTATTTTTTATATAGGCCATTTTATTTATTGTTTGTAAGTTGATTATTGTTCTCTGTTTTTTTTTTATATATTATTTTTCTTTTTTAATTATGTACTATTACGTATATAATGTTTCGGTCCTAAAATTTAATTATACAATATATATATATAAATAAAATTTTATACAATATGCACTGTTAATTGTTATACATAATTATTTAATATGCATTTCATTCGAAATATTTTGAATATTTGTTATACAATTTAACAATTATTATAACTTTTTCATATACATTTATCTATCTTTCTTTACAGTGATTCACTTTTCATATTTTTTATAATTTATGTATGTATATATTTTTAATATACATCATTATATTATTAATGTATTTAAATAAATGCTAATTATAAATACGTGTTAGAAAAATTCTTAAATGTATTATGAGATTAATTTTTTATTGATGGTTTAAAAACATGTTTCGTAATCTTAAAAAGCCTTGGCATATCGAAGAACAATTGAAAGAATATATTGTATAGACTAGAAAAGTTAAGTGTATATTGGTGAAATCGAGATTGCCTCGAAAAAATTTCAAACCGATATAATGTTTTGGGTTGAAAAATATTTAACATTATTCACGATATGTCAATTGATTGATACAATGTATTATTTTTACAGTTTCGGGTAATTTTTAAGATATTGGAGTTTATTCAAGTATCGAATAACAAATGATAGTAATATGTATCGTAAAAGTTTCAAAAACCTTATTATACACAGAACCATTTGTCGTATGAATTGGTTTGTGTTTAAAATAATAATATCGAACTTTTTATGATAATAATAATTATCACTATCACTTAGTGATTCGAAATTCAGAATAAGCACCATGGTATCTAAAATAAAATGTCAGATCATGTATGTTAACTTCCATATCGACAGTATAAAACGCATAAAATACTTTAGATGTCAAGAAATTTTTGATAACATAAATTGGCAACTAGATGTTTCGAAACGACTTTGTCGCGCACACATTTCAAAATAAATTCCGATCATAACGCAATGAAAAATTTTTTCTATCACATGTCGGATCCTCTGCTTTTCCGATTTTGTGTTCGGCATCGTATAATTATATTTATGATGTCGAAAAACTATGAACACAAAACAATATTATAATTTGATTTTTACAGTATGGGAGGTAATTTTAAGAAATTTTTACGATAAATAGGAAAGCTTTTTCGAAATAATTATGACGATCTTTGGAATTGAATCTGAATAATTTGCCGCATAAAAGTTTTTATATTTCAATCAAACCCCGCTATATCAGCTGTGGTCAAATATTTGTATGTTAATTTACGAAAATTTTCGTAATTCTTAAAATATTTATATTAAATTGGGATTTCATATTTTTATTTTCCAGAAATTATTTTAAAATTTCAAAAATTTACAATATGAGTTTTACAACATTAATTGAAAAATTTTCTTAAAAATAGGTGTTAATTTGGCCGAAATTCTTTTTATTTTTTTTTTTTTGTTTTTTTTGTGAAACCACTGTAATATTGTAATATTCTAACTATATAATAAATTTTATATAAATTACTATAATTATTTGATTTTATGGGAATAAATTAATTTTTATAGTTTAAATATTTTTTTTTTTGCCTTAACTTTATATTTTGATTTATAATATTTACGCTACATTTGTTTTACCTATATATATATGTGTATGTATAATTTTAATTATAATTTAATTTAAAATAACATTTCTAATAAATATATGTAATCGTCTGTTTTTGGCTTTTTTTTTGGTTTTAATAAATGCAATTTTTAAATTATTTATTAATAGTTTTTTAATATGTTTGTATGTATATTTGTGTTTATACATATGTGTATATATATATATGTATATGAAATAAATAAATTTTTAATTTTCATTATGAAAGATTTTTAATTTGTTTTTTTTTTATTTTTTAATTTTTAGTAATAAATTTTATTTTTAATTTTTTAATATTTCAGATATTTTGTTTTTTGTTTTCAATTATATTAATTACCATAATCTTCTATAAATGTGTCAATTATATATCTTTTAACTTCATTTATGGAGGTTCTTTCTGCTGAACATTGCTGTTTTTCACGATTACCAGGTAATATTAATAATTGTTGAATTTCATCCTGCAATATAATAAGAATAAAATTTGGATTATACATATATCAAGACTAAAAATTATAATATCAAAAAATAATATTTAATATTCATTCAAAAATATTATTATTAAAATAAAAAATAATTGTATATTACGAAAAACAAGAAGGTAGAAAAAAGCTGAATTTGTTTGTGGAGGGCTTGTACTATTAAGCGACGATGGTAATTTGTTGACCTCACATATTGGTTTATTATAAATATTACCTGACCCTGTTTTAATCGTCTTTAAGTTTTAAGCGTTCCTAGTGTTGTGATTGTGTGTTTCTTGTAAAAAGTTGGTGTTTAAAATTAGCAAGCTATTTTGAGCTGGCGTTGAAGTGTTTTTATGTTATATTCTCTGTAGAGATAAGTAGAGCTGGTCTTGTGATTTAACTTAATCCCCAGATCACTAATTCGAGTGAAATAAACCGTTACAGATGGATCTTTTTATCTTATTTGGCAGCAGATTTGATAACCTTCTAAATATCCCAGTTATTTATGCAACACGACTTCAAAAAACTAGGGTTTACAGAATAATCATCTTTACAGCAACTAATAAAGAAACTGTAGAAGAGAATTAAATTTCTTAGTTAATTAAAAACTTAATTCAGGAAAGGGAAGTCATATAATTAGTGCATTATATAATGAGGTCCATGTTCGGTTTCTATTGAGGACTATTGATAATATATAATTGCCTCAACAAATTGAGCGTGACGCGCGAATGAGCAAACATAGAGGGAAGAATCCGTATTTGGTACAGTTCATTGGAGAGTGATGCTCAAAACTATGGTAAAAAGAATATTATATAGCAAGTGCTCAACTCTAGTAAAATTTCAACGAGAGATGGCAGTAACTGTATCCATGAATATTCCTTAAAGACATACCGTATATTTACGTTACAAGCATAAAAATCTTAGTATGTACATACTTGTATTTGCCGCCTTACTTCTCCCATCGAATGTTTCCGAAGTTCTTGTTCATAAATCACACATGTCTTTATTAATCGGTTGATTAAGCATTACGTAACACAATTACATTCTTTTGTTGTTGGACTTGAACCTTCATATATTTAAGATTCATATTTTTTTGTTTTGAATTCTGTAATTACTTCGTGAGTTTTTTTTCCATTTTTGAAATCAAAATATTATTATGTATTAGAAAGGTATTTACATTTTTTTTTTTGATTTTGAACTTCAGCATTTATGGCAGAAGTTTCTAAATTTTGAATGTTCCTTTTTAAATACCTTAATTTACATAAAACGATAGGCGGTGGTGATGGAAAATTTCAAAAAGAAATTATAAAACACATTTTTATTTTAGATTTTCTTTGGAAATGACAAATGAAATCATTTTTGTTTTTAATTCATAATTATATAAATTTGTTTTGTGGCCTAATATGTACAAAAAAAGAAAATTCGTTGTTTTATAAAAAAAAATATTTGGAAATGAGAAGAAAAAATTCTACATTAAGGTGCTATTTAATTTTACTTCATATTTTTGTTTGTTATTTTTATTTTTATGAAAAGAACACTTTGCATATTTTAATTTAAAATTTTCTTTGAAATTAAATAATCCTTATAAAAACTTTATAATTGATTCTAAGAAAATGATGTAAATCTTAAGTAAATTTTTAAAAAATAAGAATAATTTTTTGAATAATTTATTTTTGTAATAAATCTAATTGCTTTGAATCCATGTTCATTCAAAATATATGCTTAAGAGGGTAAGTAACTAAATTTAAAATAAAAAAAAAAAGAAAACCAAAATTTGATTTTACTTTGATGAAGATTTTGGGCAATATAAAAACGTTTTTTGGTAAGAAATGTTTTTGGTAATAAAAAAAGTGAGGTTTTTTTTTAGAGAAATTTTTATATATTTTAGAATTTTCACAAATAAACATGGCGCCAATATAATATAGAGAACCATAACTCTAACTTATTTGTAAATCGAAAAAGTAATGCGTTTCTTACAATTCAGAATAAAAGGGCTTTGAAAATACATTCAAAGCTTTTTTAAAGGAATTTGTGATTGTAACCCCTAAAAGTATGCAATTTTTAATACTCAAGCTTTTTCGTACTACTCAAAAATATGTCTTGTCACTACATGTGTAATATCAAGAATATAGTTTAGGATAAGGTAATTTTTATTGAGTATTAGGGAAGTAGAACCCAAGTATATTCTAATTCAAATTTTAATAAATAAATCGATGTGACAATACTCGTTCGTCTGTCAGTTTACTGTTAAAATGTTGATTTGAGTACGAAAATAACTAAATAATGAAATTTATCGTATAATAAATAAGATGGTTATTATATTCGCGCTTTGCTATTATTGATTAACAAATATGTAACTGGGTGGAGTATGTGAAGATAAGTGTGAAATCGATGGTTAAGTATGCGAAAATATAAAACAGTGGCGTACTTATTGTGCGAATGTGAGATGATGAGTTGCCTACGACTCAGATTAGATGCTTCGGAGGGAGCTTTGCGATTCCGATCGAACTCTCGCGGCCTGATGTGTCTGCTATACGGTCACAGGGCTAGGTATAGTTCTAATGTATGTGGGGATGGAAATCACAAAATATCCTATAAGTCGACGAGGTAAAAAGAAAGTATGTATAGATATGTCACAGCCTATATATGGTACTTTAAAAAAAATAACAAATAAAATAATTTATTATTATTTGAAAACTTTAAGTGCGGAAAATATTTAAACAAAAAAAAAACAATTATTTCACATTAATGAACACAAAAATATTATCGTTATAATTTTTACAACGTCAATTTAACACACCATTTTTCGTAAAACCATGAAAAACATGGAAATAAAATAAAAATATTTTATTGTTATAAAAAAAGAAGAGATTATCTTGGAAATTAAAAAAATTTCCGTAAATATTCTTTTTCAGAATTCAGATTTTTTTTTATTTTATTTTAAAAATTATTGTTTTTTGTTTTAATAACAATATTTTTATTTTAACAATCTTCATTCGCCGCCTCATTCATTTGTTTTTGCATACCTATAGCGTATATAGCCTTCATTAGATATTATTGTTTGCTCTCTTATAGACTATTAAGTTTAACAAATTTATGTATATTTGTAAATTGTAAAATTTTTTAATAAATATACATATGTTTACATATATTGTAAAATAAAGTAATTTTTTTTATTAAAAATATAAAATAATATTTATGTATATACAATATATGTTATAATAAATAAAACCTTGCATAATATAATACTCTACAAATGTATGAGATTATAAGGATAAAACTTTTAATAGTTCTCGCATATAATTTATAAAAGTTTTTACATATTATACACCAAATGATTGAAAATATTAATTGCATTCGTTGATTCGCCTTAAAATATTACATATATTTCATGATATATACATGTATATATATATATATATGCATCATCTATAGATGAAAATATTTTTAAACTTGCAGTTGTTAAAACAAAAAAAACAGGATAATGGAAAATGCATTTTTATTTATAAAGAGAGGTGTTCAGTTGCAAATTTAAAAAAAAGAATATTCAAGGTACTTTACATTTGAATATATATGTAATATTCGTATATATATATATATTGTGTATATATTATTTACTTGAATATAAATTTAAGATAAGTATTTTTGCAATACTAAGTATATACGCAAAGAGTTTACAATAAAGTTTTCAATATAACAATTTTTTTTATTGTACGAGTATCAAAAGGTATTTGAAGGAAAAGAATTTGAAAGTAATAAGAAATTCTTTTAGAAAGTTTTTCCTCTTTAAGTTTTTATAGTAAAAAGCATTATACAAAAAATAACCTTTTCGAAGTTATTCATATTATTCGTACTCGTATTTCAATTTCCAGTGAGATCTATTGTAAAAGTATGAAAATTTAATAAGAAACTATAAAAAATTTAATATTTCATAGGTTAATTTTAGCGTGTGTGTGATAATAAGTGAGAAATAATAAAATTTTGAATTAAATCAAGTAGGAAATAATGAAATATATTTATATAAATTGTTTGTAATTACGAAAGTATTAAGAATTCAGCTATTTAAAATTTCCACAATGCAAGTACGAACCAAAGGGTGTATTTGGCACTTCATTTCTACTTATTAGCACTTTCCCAAAATGCTTATTAGTTTCACTCCACCCATTGGCGTTCGTCCCTCAATATGTTTATTGTTTACAAAATTTCTATACTCTTGAAGATAGAAAACTGAAAATTTCATATATGAATAGATCTTTGGTATAAACTTTATATTTTGAATAATTTTTATAATTTTATATTATCGTATTAAAATAAATTCTACGAGTATTTCAAGGTTATAATTAATTGATTCATAATAGCTAATTATGCTAACAAACTTATATACTAATATACAAAACAGTAATGTATAACAGATATGTTATTTATATAATAGAAGTTAACAGAATGTATGACAGATAAGACATTTCACCAAAAAAGATTACTAATACTGCTTTCTCATTTGAATTGTCTCATTTTTTCTCAATAAAACGCATAGTGAACAATACCAATTCCGATTGAACTTGTTACCTTTCAAAACATTTTTCTACTTTAATTCGTGATATCCGGAACAAAGTGACTGCAGAATGTTGACTAAATTGACAGAATGTTCACTGAAAACTTGACAGATACGAAAACAAATTCTTAGAACTCGAAAATTATATTTTTCGAATATTTATAATATCAATCACATTCTTCTTACTCAGTGGAAAAATAGCGACGTACTAGAATCTTGTAATTAAAAATTTATAATAAGCAACATTACGTAATAATAGAAATTTGAGAGAAAAAGTCGTATCTCATTTCGTATTTATTATGTGTTTTCGAAATGACGAATAAATTTTGTTGAATTTTAACTGGAAAGAAGAGCTCGAATATAGAGAATTCTTCCAAGAGAAATTCGTTTATTAAAATTATACAATAAAAATAAAAACTTTAATTAAAATTCATAAAAATATTGT